AGGTAATTTATCACACCCTTGGAGAGGCGGTAAAGTGGTACTTCCATGAAAATAACTAAAGCATGCCCTCAGCGTACTTCAGTTGCAGTTTGTCCCCGGCCCTGGTTGGTTGTGCGGGTGGCAGCCACTCAATGTGTCCCTTTCAGGTCGATGTCTCTCTCTCTCTCTCTCTCTCTCTCTCTCTCTCCCCCTCCCTCCATCTCTCCCACTCTACTTGAACAAAAAATGGAAAAATGTCCTCGGGTGAGGATAAAAAAAATTGAAAAAAAAGATGCCTTCAGTACAAGAAAAAACAACATATCCTTGGAAATAGTTAAAAAGTTGAGGTGAGCAATCCAACTAGCAGTTCCCATCAATTCCTAGAGCTGCCTTTGGGCCCAGCAATTGTATTTTTGATAACTTCACTACCTTGAATCTGCCCAAGAGAGAAAAATGAAGAATAGTCACCCTGAAAATTTTTGTTTTTACAAAGGGTCACAACTCACACAGCCTGTATGGATCCCAATCCCAAGTTGGAAAATTTAGATTGATGCAGTCGTGGCTTGGTACTGACCCCAGGTAATGCCGTTCCCTGGAGAACCCACATTAAACATAGGCCACAGATAAAACTCCAAGCAACATATATTCATAATCACACAGCTGAGCCTCTAGCTCACATGTTTGTCTGTGGTGACTCATGCGACTGAAATACAGGTATAGGGCAATGATGCCGGTGTAACAGAGAAGTCTTGCTTGTCTATAGCAAGTTTTCACAGTATTTAATGTTTGGGAGCAATCGTAGTAGGGGAGTTTTCTCACCACAGCAGGTCATTCAGACAGTATGGGAGAGATTCACCAGGCAAAGTTAACCCCCAAAAAGCAGGTAAACTGGACTTCGAGGCACAAAGCATGACTGAAAAGAAGACGACCATACATTGATGAAAAATTATATTTCACTGAAGATATTACAATTTTTTTTAATCCTCACCCGAGAATATTTTTCTACTTATCTTCAGATAGAATGGGAGAGAGGGAGAGAGAGAGATACATCGACTAGTTGCTTCCCGCATGACCTTACCAGGATTGGGGATGAACCACAACTGAGGTATGAGCCCTTGACTGGAATTGAACCTGCAACTCTTTGGTCCGTAGGTCAATGCTCTAACCGCTGAGTCAAACCAGTCAGGGCTGAAGATACTACAATTCTAAGCTTTATTTATTATTATTATTATTATTATTATTATTTTTATCTTTATCCTCATCCAAGAACATTTTTACATTCATCTTCAGATAGAGTGAGAGGGAGAGAGAGAAAAACATCGATGTGAGAAAGACACATCAACTGGCTGCCACCCACACGACCCCAACCGGGGTGGGGACAAACTGCAACCGAGGTACGTGCCCTTAGCAGGAACCGAACCTGGGTCTCTCTGCACTGCGGGCCGATGGTCAAACTGTTGAGCCAAACAGGCCAGGGCTAAGCTTTATTTTTTAATAAAATAACTTCACAGAAGAAAACCAACTGACAGGAAATGGCAACTCTTCCACTGTTATCATCATACTAGTTAACTTGGATCACTGGCCACTGCCATGATGGCCCGGAATATCTTGTACGCACTAACTCAACTCTCATCGGTCCTCTTCTGTGTTCCCATTGTACAGACAAGAAAAGCAAGTCAGAAAGAGTGATACCGCTCTCTCAAAAAAAGGTTACAACAAGCTCATAAAAAAGCTACTGGTGGGAAGACTTGAATAACACAAGCAACAGATTTGATCTAAAGGAAATATATAGAAGTCTGCAACTAAGAACTGGAGAATACACATTCTTTTCAATTTCTTACAGAACATTTATAGACACTGACCGTGTGCGAGGCCATAAAACAAGTCTCAACCATAAAACACTCCAGCTCAGGCTTTCGACAACCACAGTGCAGTCACATTGGAAATCAATAACGAAAAGGTACGTTTAAATACGTCATACAGTTGGAACTTTTAAAACATACTTCTAAATAAATCATAGGAGAGGCTAAAAGTAAAAGAAATAAAAGAGATCGGGAAATGAACAAGAATAACAATACTACATTGTCAACATCTGTGGGTTACAGCTAAATCAGGGCTTAAGTGGGAAATTTATTACTCGGGGGCTTACAATAGAAGAGGAGAACAGTCGAAATGAGGAAAGTATCCGAAGAAAGAGAAGTTTTAAAGGACATTAGAAAAAACCCAAAGGCACTGACAGAAAAAAAAAGAAAAAGAAACTAAATGTGATAGAAAAGAGAAGTTCCAGAAAGATAACATTTTGGTTCTTGGAAAATCATAATAAAAATGAGTTTAGAAAGGTGGCCCCAAAGGGGGAAAAGGTATAAACAAGCAATATTAGAAATAAACAACATATGCAGCAAAAAATAAGGTGAGAGAATATTATAGGCAAACTGCAGCCAAGACATTTCAAACCTTATAATGAATGGATATATTTCTAGAAAAATATAACCCCAGGGTCAACCAAAGCAACAGATGTTAAAGGAATCAAATCAGTAGTCAGAAAGTTTCCCACGATGCAGTATCACAAAACATTCAGAAACTGTTCATTTCGTCTCACATATATTATTTCAGAAAGTAGAAAAATGAGTATGTTTACCCCAAAACTAGTAAGTAAAGCAAACTAAAACAGACAAGAACAAGTATAGACCAATCTCAGTGACTACAGATGAAAAAATCTTGAGTAAAACATTAACAAAACAAATTGAGCTACGTATAAAAAAAGTAATACATGATGACCCAGTTGGAATTGTCCCAGGAATGCTAATTTGGTTCAATATAAGAAAACTGATCAATGTAATCTCCCATTAATGGATGAAAGGAAGCAGAAAATGTATTTGATGATATTCAATATTAAGTCAAGCTTAAAAAAAAAAACCTCTTGGCAAAATAGGAAAAGAAGGGAAATCCCTTCCCCCGATAAAGGGTGAATTAAAATCATGCTGAATGGGAAAACATCTGAGGCACTCTTTATAATCAAGCACAAGATAAGGAAGTCCACAATTACTGCTTCCACCAGTGTAACGGAGGTCAGAACCAGCCCAGAGAGATAAGAAAAATAAATAAAAGGCGTAAGAATTGAAACAGAAGAAATAAAACTGTCATTATTTGCTAGTGATAGGACTGTCTCTACAGAAAGTTCAAAGCAGAAGCAGAGTTTAGCAAGGCACTGGCCGTAATATTAATGCAGGAAAGCCATGTGTTCTATATACCACCTGAATAAAGTGAAAAATGTAATATCGACTGAAAACAAACGAAGTCAGAAGAAATTGAATGAAAGTCTGCCTTTGCATAAAGGTGGAAAAGAGGAAAAATGATAAAATATACTCTTCGGAGCTACATATACCTGCACTAAAGCTATGAATAGCAAGGACGTAATTAAGACCAAATTAAGGATAAAGTCAACCTCTGGGGTGGGGAAGAAGGATGAAGTTAGGGAGAGAGACTTCAAAGGCACTAGTTAAGATTTTATTTCTTTTTTTTTTAATCTTTATTATTGAAAGTATTACAGATGTCCCGCCTTGAGATTTTAAGATAGGTGTTCCTTTTGTTATTATTCTTTACTTTGTATGGAAAATAATACAATAATAAATAAATAATAATAATACAAGAAACTATAAACCTACTTTTGCCCCACCCTGCCTATAGGATACATAATTATTTTAAGAAGAGGCCCTGAAACATAAAATACCTTTTATTAACACCAATGGATGTTTTAATATTTTTCTCCCCCTTTAGATGTTTGTATTTTCAGCTATTTCTAAAATGAGGTGGATAGCTTTTATACTAAGAAAGGACCTTAGAAGTAATTTCCTTTCAAAAGTCTTTAAATGAATAAAAATCACTCCAATTTTTATACTTAGGGTAATAAAATATTTGAACAAGAATACATATATTTGTATTCGATGTGTTTCTGGGGCACCTGTACTGATTTTACCACATTTAATCCCAAATTTTTGATAAACTTTGTGTCAATCTTATTTAACTAACACTTTGAATAGTTTGGGAAGGTGCTGTTTAATGAGAACTCATGACAAATTTATGGTAACTTTACCAGCATATAAGTGTATCTTTTGGGAAAGTAAATAACCCCACTTGAGACCAAATACAGACGCTGAGAATGTGTATTTTCATATATTAGGTGATTCTAGAGGAAGGCACACGGGCACATACCTAGGCTTTCCGCAAGGCATTTGGCAGAATTAGGCAAATAACGAAATAACAAATACACACTATTTCCCAGCTAATCTCATCTGCAAGGAACCCGGCAAAGTGAAAGAACCCTCTGAAAGGCAGGCTTCCCCCGGGGGGGCAGGAGGCTGTGAACCCCAGAACAGCCCTGGACAGTAACGAACGAATACTGTTATTTAACAGCCTAATTTCATTTACTCCCTATTGATGACTTTTATAAAAGAAAATTCAGCTTCCGGGGAGAAAGCCCAGGAAGACACAGTACGCGCTTCCTGATATCCCTAATTGCCCACATCCGCGCCTTCAGAGAGGCCTGTGGGAGGCCTGCACACAGGCCTGCGGCCACAACCTGTTATCACCCCGATGACTCAGCCTGCAGGAGGCCAGCGTGGGAGCCTCCTTATCTGCCTAACGGAGCCGCAGAGCAGCCCAGCTGCGCAGATGGCGCTCAGTGCCTGCTCCAGCTTACAGGAGGCCGGCCTTCTCTTTGAAAAGCCGTTAGTGAAAGCCACATCACCAGACACCAAGCCCTAGGACGCGTTCCTGGGCGAAGTCTCTGCCTTGTGGCCCGGCGACTGAACCAACGAGCACACTGCTCCATGCCAACACTGACGGGTCCCCGAGTTTCAGCTTCTGGTCCCCAGGGCAGCTGACACAAATGGAAAATGATTCCAAATTGAGCGGCCTTTTGTGGTCTCCTCGGAAAGGAGAAGCTGGGGAGCGACACTCCGGAGGATGCGGGAGGGACACTGAGAAAGGGGAACCGAGAGGCAGGCTCACTTTCCCCTCACCTTTTCCACATCTGCTTTCGTGACGTTTATGTCAGCGTCCATCTTCTCGAAGTACTGCTGCGCTCGGTCCGCCTCCTTGCAGTCCCGCTCGAAGCGTCTTTTACTCTGGGAGCAGAGAAGGTGGGGAAGGCAATTAGTCACAGGACCGTGAGATTCCTGGGGGCACAGAACCCTCCCATCCCCAAAGGGCGTTCTTCTCCGAACTGATTTGCCATTTGTCATCTCAGGAAGTTATTTTAAAATCAGCATTGATGGTCCCCCCACCCCCAACTACCTAATCTTTGTTCTTTCCATGTGGTTTTTAGAAAAATATAGAAACACACTACATTCAAATCAGAAAAATGTCTAAAGATGTTTTCTTTAGTGTTGTTGTTTTTTTAAAATAGGTTTTTATTGCCCTGGCCGGTTTGGCGCAGCGGTTAGAGCGTTGGCCTGCGGTCTGGAGAGACCCGGGTTCGGTTCCCGCTAAGGGCATGTGCCTCGGTTGCAGTTTGTCCCCGGCCCTGGTTGGGTCGTGTGGGTGGCAACCACTCGATGTGTCCCTTTCACATCGATGTTTCTCTCTCTCTCTCTCTTCCTCCCACTCTATCTGAACAAAATATCGAAAAATGTCCTCAGGTGAGGATAAAAAAATAAATAAATAAATAGGTTTTTATTGATTTTTGGGGGGGGGGGGTACATGCTGACTGACTCAAGATGACATTCAACTCAAATGAGAAACCCGGTCCAGACCTTCCCCGGCTGTTTGTTCTCACTTACTGATTCCAGCTGCTTCCAGCAGGTCTCGATGTGCTGCTGGGCCTTCCGTCCATCGTGGAAGTGCTGGAGGTGAGAAAGCACAGTGGTCAGCACACGCTCCTTCTCACAGTCACGCCAGAAACAAACCCACCAGCTGAAATAATACCTCAGTGTGGCATGCCCAGCACAGGCCCTCCCAGACGCTGAAGGGTTAAAGCGAAGGGGAACTGAGAGCAGAGCAGTCACGGGGTGCCCTTTAAGACTTCACGTGTGATCATTTAATTCTAAGACTTACGCCCCTTGTAAAAGTGACAGGGATGTTTTAAGACAACAATCACTTAGATTTTTTTTTCATTGCTTTGAGATGCAATCCGCATCCTGTACAAGTCTCTCATTCAAATTGTACAAGTCAATAATTTTTACTAGAGTCACAAAATTATGCGACCGTTACTACAATCAACTTGAGAACAGTTCTATCACCCCAAAAAGAAACCCTGTGCCTCTTAGCTGTCACCCTCCTATCCCACATCCTCCCAGCCCTAGGCAACCACCAACTTACTTTCTGTCTCTATAGATACACCTCTTCTAGGTGTTTCATAGCAATGGAATCTTACGACACGAAGTCTTCTGAGACTGAAAAATGCTCTCATCACTTCATAATGTTCACTTAGCAAATTATGTTTTCAAGGTTCATCCATGAGTCACATGTACCAGTACTTTATTCCTTTTTATTGCTGAGTGACATTCCATTGTATGGATATACCACAATTGTATATCCATTCACCAAATGATGGACTTTGGGCTGTTCCCAGTTTGGGGCTACTATGAATAATGCCACTACAAGCATTTGTGTAAACATTTTATGCAGATAGATGTTTCCATGACCTAGATCTTTTTAAACTTTAAGATAAATTCACCTCCCTGCTATCTGCAAAGGCCCTGAGGCAGGTATGTGCCCAGTGTTGACACCAGAGGACTAGACCAGGGTGAGTCTCAAAAATATTAGGAGACAGGTCAGAGAAGAAAGGGGCAGACTGTGTAGGGTCCTGTGGGCTTTTTGTCTGAATGAGCTGGGAGCATGGATGACTCTGACTATAGCAGCACCATGTGGTGAAGGAAGGTTCCAGGTGGGAGGCTCTCTCCAACCTGGAGGTGACAAAAACTTGGACCACAGGGTAGCAGTGGAGGTGGTGGAAGAGGGTCAGATCCTGGTGTCCTTGGATCAGGAAAACCGCCAGCATGTGCTGGTGCGTCAGACCAGATGTGGGCCGTGACATACTTAGGTGTCAGGTGACTCCGAGGTTGTCCCGACCTGCCTGGACCACGTGAGCAGGCTCCCCTGCCCCTGGTTCTGCTGAGTTGCTACGAGAGGTTCTGGCATATCAGAGGGCAGGAACTGACGTCTGCAGCTCCCCCAGCTAAGACGCTCTAGGTTGACAGGTCCCTCAACCAAAGGTCATAGCTGTGGTCAGGCAGCGGCCCAGAGCTAATTGATGAGGTTCCTATAAGGCTCCCCCTGCCCTGAGAGCTGGGCCAGAGGAAGTCTCCCCACCCCCGGAACATTAAAATGCCCTAAATGTTCCTTTTAATCAGCGAGCTTCCTTCAATGATGGGGCTGAGCGTGTCTATTTTCTGACTGACAGGTAAGCACGGGGGAGGGTGCTATGGAGAGGGCAGGGTGAAGGAGAGACAGGAACCAGGAGGTCCCCCCACGCAGCTTCAGGGCGTTGACCTCACCTCGCCAAACCTAGGGCTCAGCCAAGTCACAAAAGATAGCTGACTGTCCGGAGGCCAGGGAGGAGGGGAGATCAGGTTCTTTCAGAAAGAACAGTGCTTCTTTATAAGGGAATGTTTCTTGCCTCCTTTGAGGTCACGTTTCACTGTTGTAAGTGCCTCTTGACAGCAAGCTGTATCCATCTAGCAAATTTTTAGTGTCTATGAAACCTAGACAGCCCCCTGGGGCTTTGTTGTTTTTTTTTCAGGTCTCGTCATAGACACAGGGACATGACAGAAAACAGACTGAGTCTAAGGGCAGGAATAAATAAGCAAGACAGGATCACAGCTGTGGGGAAGTAAGAAGTGGAGCTGAGGGCAGAGTTGGGAAAGGCTTGAACTTCAGAGGAAGTACGAAGCACAAGCAGGTTTTCTGGAAGCCACAACGATCACTTACGAAGAGAACGCTGAGAAGCAGTGAGGGCTTGCTCAGGGGAGACAGGGAGGCAGAGGGACAGGCTCGGGGACAGACAGAGGCTGAGCTGTGCCCTTCCCGTCAGGCACCTTTGGTCCCAGGAGTCCCTGTCCATTCAGAGATGTGACCTTCCCACACTGTCATGAGGACCAGCCTCATTCCGTGGGCAGGACCTCTGCGCTTTTCAGTTTGCTGAGAGGCTTCACCGTGCCTCCAAATTTTACTTTGAGATTCAAAGACAGACAGAAAGAACAGCTGAGCACCAATTCTGAGCTGTGCTCTAGGTCGGTGCTCTGGCTCCACCAGCTCTGACCTCGAATGCTTTCACAGCAAAATGCTCCCCGGGTGGACAGAGGACAGGGACGCACAGCACACACAAGGACGGGCCCATGGGAAAGGCAGCCTCGGCTCCATCATCACAGGATCTTCTCTGAAGACAAGTCTTCCCCAAAATGTCACATTTGGGGAGCAGGAGGGATGATTCCAACTGAAAACCCACACGGTAAATTCTCTTGCTGCTCCTTCATTTGACTATGCTGTCGTAAATATGAATTTATTTTTCAAGCACAATGCGGACCTGGACTTTACTGGAGACCTTTCTCCCAAGAAGGACTCTTGAGCCATAATTCCGTCAGACTAAAGCAATGATCCGAAAACCACACTGGCGATCCTATCGTGTCTTGTGACGGGAGAAAAAACCCAGGTGCCAGTGATTCTCCTAATCATTCTTTCATCGTATGCGTCCCTCCAGAATGTATTTGGCTACAACACACACACACAGTCATTGCTGCCTGATCCCTTAGGAAATGAACAGATGGACCAAAAGCCCTCCCCAGGTCCGAGCATGACCCAGGTAGCGGGGGTTTTCAACAGTTACAAAGTTAAAGTAACCAGCTCCCCAGATGTGTTTGTTGTTTATTGACGAACAACGGCAAACACATTTCTTCCCCTGACAGTGAGCAAGTGTGTATCTAAAAAGTGTGCCTCGGAGCGCTACACAAAGAGGAATTGTCCTCTAGAAAAAGACAACAAGCACTCCTCTGGAGCCCGGGGTGAAGTCATCACAGCTCTCCTCTCGGAGGAGAGACAGGAAATGCCAGCTCCGGAGACCCGGAGAAGCGCTCCCACTTTCTCCTGCAACAAGAGGCTTTCGTTTCTCCTCCAGCATAATAAGACTTTCAAAATGCCTGATGGTGTCTGGGAGGCAGCTAAACTCACTTTCACGTCAATGTTCTGGCCGACCCTTAAAAATACACAAATAGAAGCATCCTTCAAAAATGTTTTAGAAATGTCCCAGTGACTAGGGGTAGCTGAGACCAAAATCCACAGGGGAGCTAAAGTACGCAAACGTTAACCGGAAGAAAAGCCCAGTGACGGTGCCTGCAGGAGACCGCGCTGCCCCGCGAGGAGTCCCGCTCGGGCTGCACACACGAATGCCGACTGCTCACACTCGACAATGAGCTACGGCAGCTGCTCACTTGTACTGTAGGTACAGAATAGGCCATTAATTTTTAAAACTCCTTAATAAAGCAAAATATGGCACTGATGTGAGAGCAGCCAGTCCAAAAAGAAGAAGAAAAAAGAAAGAAAGAAAGAAAGAAAGAAAGAAAGAAAGAAAGAAAGAAAGAAAGAAAGAAAGAAAGAATGAAAGAAAGAAAGAAAGGAATAAACACTCTATTGAGGACAGTCAACCATCTGGAATTTTAAATAAAACTCAGATTCCACAGATGAAAACAAAGGAACACAAAGACTTGAAAAGGGCAAGGGAAAAAAGGAGCATCCAGAAAATATGTCTGTGACAAATATTATAACTTCCTCAAAGCCCACAGAGTGGCCGTTTGAACACCAGCCTCTGCTTGGTCTGACCCGGGTTAATCCACGCAGGGCAGTCTCTGTGGCGGAGACTTGCGTGCGGGGCAGGAACTGCGAGCCACCTTCAGACCGGCTCAAAGGAGCATTTCACCCCTCGCTGACGTCTGGAACCATAAACCCAGAAGTGTCCGTGACAGGAGTCGCACTCTGCTTTGATATAAGGCTTATTTCCCCAAATCCATTTATAATAAAAATACCTTCTCAGTGAACTTGTTTCAAGTTCCTGAAAGCCTCCTTCCCACTGTCATGCTCAGTGGCTTAACTTCACCCAAACACCGCCCATCTGGGCACGAGGCAGGGGACCCTATCCATGGCCCAGGTCCAGTGACACTGGCCAAGTTTCCTTCACTTCCTGTCCTGGTGTCTTTTACCCAGTCCCTGTTATTCCCCTGCCGGCTTTTGCTGCCCAGAACACTCACATCCACAATTTACCCGGACTCCAGGAGTCTTCTATCTGCTTTTCAAAATAATCCTTTCTACTATATTACTCAAAATTAAAATTCCTCCGAAGACTCCCAATTAACCTTTAGCATGATAGAACCTTAAAATGACCACCATTAAGCAGCAATCGACTCGTGCCCCTCCCTTACCCCTTCCTAGGGCACAAAGCTCTTACTTCCAAACCAAACCAAGGGAAATGGCCATCAATCAGTAGTTTCGGTAGAGTGCCAGGGCGATGGGAGAATCTTTAGGGACGGCCATCGTTGCCTGCATGCCCACACACGCAGGTGCAGCTCTGGGTACCAGGAAAGTGGCGTGAGCAAACAGTGGACGCAGCGAGCGGCTGAGGGAGGGGACAGGGAGAACTGTACGTGTGTGCGGGCGGCATTTCAGATAGGCTGCCCTGGGGTGGGGTTTGCGGAGCCCTGGATAGAGGGTAGATGTGAACCTGAACAGCAAATGAAAGTGCTGTGACGTGGGAAAGGGCTGGAGATGCCAGTGCCGTTTGAGTGAGGGGAGGGATGAGGCCAGGGCTAGACACGGACGGCTTCCCAAGCCACAGGGAGCATGACGGAAAGTTACT